AAAATAAACATCAATAAAACATTGACATATTAACTAGTTGCATGAGTGAGGAAGTGAATTGGTTGATTCCGGAGTCCTATTATGTAAGCCTATGAACAACAGAGTGCAAATTGTAATTCAGGCATAAAAGGAAAATCAACTTGCCGATGTGAACTTTATGAGCTTGGTCACGACAAATAAATGTCAGAGGCATGCATTTACCAACAAGCAATGATACTTCACGGGTTTGTTGCATTGTGTTGCTTAATCGCCCGTGAGTACATGTACATTTGGCTCCGGCGAGAGGGAAACATTTCCTGGTGAGGGACATAATCGCCATGTTTCTCGTTCGACGGCGTATGCAACATATTTCATAGCTTCGTGGATGTCTGCTCTAAATATTATCAAGCAATGATAGCAATCGCACAAAATACACCCACGGAGCACGGCTCATCGGACTTTCATGAGTCATAAACGGACTCATCCCAATACTTGCAGCTTGCTACTAGTGCGTCACTACTACATGACATAGAGACCGTACGTTGTCACAGGTGATTGATGATTGTAGTGTCCTTTTCAATACATTTGTTCATTTATGGAAATTCAATACATTTAAAGAAGTTACTATAAATGTGTTTGCAAATCCGAAAAACAATTATCGTCTGGAAAGATCTCATAGTTTCATGCAAATTATAGACTGTACACATTTCATGGTTTTATGCAGAATATTCATTTGCTGTGGAGCTTTGGTGGGAAACAAACGCTACTTGCTTGAAACTGATTCGAGATTTTGTCTATGGGAACACAAGAAAAACAAAAAATGACGTCGCGTTCAAGATAGTTGCACTTATATATCGAGGTGCATTCACGCGTGTGTGAGGCTGCTTTTACCAGTCTTGACAAATGCCGATTTTATAGTGCTTGTTATAGCCCTTTGATGCCGAGCACCAGACAGGTTAACAAGTACCATATTTTAACGTATTTTGGCATGACACTGCCGGGTTCGAACCCCCGACCTCCGGCAGTCAGGGCAGACGCACTACAAATTAAATAGACCACGGAGGCGGTCTGAAAAATATGAAAACGCAATAGTTGAGCATGTGGCCACTGCTCATGTCTAGCTCCACGCAAAAACATTTAATTAGTTTGAATGTTATGGCTCGGAAACGAAGCCTAGAGTTGTTTGAGACAAGATCCAAATTGTTTTAATGGTGACGTAACATAGTAAAATAATACAAAAATGAAAAGCAACAGACACCAGTTAAGCTGATGGCAAATGCATATGCCAAATTTCGTTGACAAATGCGAAAAGGTTTTAAAGTTCTGACCTGGAAAAAAGCCTTGTGTTGTTTGCGACTGTTCTATCAAATGCAGTGAATACTCATGACGGGATCGTGGACACGTAAAAAGATGGGAATTGTGTTGCCCTAAAATAAACCTAGAAGTCTTACCATAAAGTTGGTTAATGTGAATCATGATCATGAAATTCACTGCGAATTCGCAGATTACAAAATAGTTAGATTTGTGTAAGGGCGACGTGATAACCTTCAACTGTAGTGTCAAAATCAAGTTGACCCCCTACTAGTGCACGGATGAACTGCTTGGTCTAATTGCAATGTCTCTGCTGTACACGATTGTGTTGGTTTTGGTTTTGGCAGTCCCTTTTTAAAGCTGAGCTTTCTTTGAGACCGACTATACCATTTATATTTCATGATCGCATAGTTTTGTGGTAGTGTTTATTTCCTGACACGTCTACGGCAAATAGAAAGAGGAAAGACGCTACCAGGTTTTGTGTTCTTTCTTGGTTTAAACATACCATCACAGAGTAGCCTGATTCTATTCCTAACACGCTAAATTACACATTTGAATATTGTGGTAAGGGCATTTTGTGGCCCATCATTGTTTACATATTATCATTTAAATATGTCTACCGACAATGACAAGAAGTACTTTTCTGAAAACATTAGCTTCCGCGGTGTTCTTGCTATTTCTATAAGAGGGGATTTATTGTGATTTAATACATCTGATTGACCAATCAAACTCGATTATTTTCCCAATACTTGGAAGAATTTTGTTTTAACAACATAAAACTAGAGGAACAAATGTTTAAATAAGAGGAATGTCAAGCAAAGAAATCCTACCGTAAAGTTGGTTAAAGTGAATCATGATCATGAAATTCACTGTGAATTTCGAGATTACAAATAGTTAGAAATGTGTAAGACGAGATAAATTCCATTCCAGACAGAGGTATACTGTGTAATAACTGATAATAATAAATATATAATTAATATAATACTTGGTTTTAAGTGCTATAAATCACATTGCACCCTTTATATCTTAAACTGGTTTCGGTACCACTTCTTAATTATATTTTTTATAGTAAAATAAAGACGTTGTTCTCCACAAATTCTGTCTACTTTGTCATCCGTCAACTTCTAAGAAATGCCTATCAAACAATTCATTCGTTTATACGGCGTAGTATGGGCCGAATTAATCTCACATTGACAATTTCGGGGTGTCTTGCCTACTCGAAGCGCCTGACCTAATTCGGCTAACGTGGCGATAGACCTTTAACGTGGGCGTACTCGTCTCCAGATCATGTCCAAGATGTGTTCTGTATGGGGGAAAGGTCATGTCTCATGGCTGGTCATTGCATGGTGATGTTTTGCGGCTGGAGGTAGCCAGTTACGATACGTGCCCGTTGGGCAAGAGCGTTATCGTCTTGTAAGACAAAATGTGGACCAGTATAGAGGGCAAACGGCACAACTTTTGGTGCACGTATGTTGTCTCGGTTGTACTGTCCAGGGACCCGTCCTGGGACAATATGTAATGGCGTCCTGACATATCATGGAAGACAAAGAAACAAAAAAACAAATCTTTTACGTTCGCATGATGTTCGTTCGTCCACGTCTATCCTGAAGGTCCGGAGTGAATCTGGACTTATCTGAAAGCATTACACGAGACATTACATTGATTGAACTCTAAATTCATTGGCGTATGGTTGGACTGTGTCGATTTGTTAATGCAGGTACAAGCGGTCGCGGAATAAGCAATTAAGCAGACGATTTCTAACTCTTGTGGTCTGGTGCAAGTAAATTTGATTGAGTGTTTCGGGTCAATTGTTTAACGATCATGGACTTGTGTTGTTGACCAAGGGCCCATGTGCAGGGCCGAGCATTGACATTTTGTCTGCCAAAACCTGTTCCAAAGTCATCAAATCACAGACTAAGACACATTGAAAACATGTGGCTTCCTCTCGCTGAGTTCTACCAGTTTCAGTAGCACCCAGGCGTCCATCACGTTGTAGACGACGCATGTGCATTCCCAATCTGATCACAAATACTGCACTACTATAACAGTATATGGCTAACATTTTACTACAGATTTAACAAATTGAATAATGCTGATTGTTTAGGGCGACGTGATAACCTTCAACTGTAGTGTAAAAATCAAGTTGACCCGCTACTAGTGCACGGATGAATTGCTTGGTCTAATTGCAATGTCTCTGCTGTACACGATTGTGTTGGGGCATTAAGTTTTGGTTTTGGCAGTCCCTTTTTAAAGCTGAGCTTTCTTTGAGACCGACTATACCATTTATATTTCATGATCGCATAGTTTTGTGGTAGTGTATATTTCCTGACACGTCTGCGGCAAATAGATAGAGGAAGGACGCTAACAGGTTTTGTGTTCTTTCTTGGTTTAAACATAACATCACAGTGTAGCCTGATTCTATTCCTTATGGACCTAACACGCTAAATTACACATTTGAATATTGTGGTAAGGGCATTTTGTGGCTTATCATTGTACATATTATCATTTAAATATGTCTACCGACAATGACAAGAAGTACTTTTCTGAGACATTAGCTTCCGCGGTGTTCCTGCTGTTTCTATAAGAGGGGATTTATGGTGATTTTATACATCTGACTGACAAATCAAACTCCAGTATTTTCCAAATTCTTGGTAGAATTTTGTTTTAACAAAATAAAACTAGAGGATCAAATGTTTATAAATGGAAGAATGTCAAATAATCCAAAGTTCTGAACACAAGACAATGTTAAAAATTTATAAAACCCTCTTTCAAGAATAAAATAAAGAAACTCAGCACTTTTTAATAACCTTGACTCTCTTGAACGCAGACTTATTGCGGGCTATAACATGTAAATGTAGTTGAATTGCGAATAGTGTTATCGTGTATAATACAATGACCAATCGGCTAAGTCTATGTAATGATGGTTTTACCAATGAGTTTAAAACGTTCATATTAATAAACGGGACTGGTAGAGGTTAATATAAATTGAAGGGGGTGAACATTGTTTTGCCGGCACCAACACATTATTAATTACTCCGTCGTATTTATATATATCAGCAGCAGCTAGACCTTTGAATATATGCATATCAAATTAGAAATACGAATTAGAAATTTCACAATATACAACCCAAGCTTCGCTATCGAATTGGTCATGTGACAGACAATCTGAGGTGATAGATCAGTGAACAGATACCTTATATCCTGGTGGACGTATGAAATGTGTGACTCGGAGTGAATCATAAAGTCCCCTGTCGACACCTAACACACCTCTTACAGGATGTAGTAGGACGTGATTGATGTGCTGACGACAAAACGTGGCTATGTCTGAAGTTGTCACTGGTTAGTGTGACTGTTGCCATTATTACTTGTCATATATGTGTTTCAAGTAATTGGATAATTGATTCCCTAAAATTCATCTAGATATTTCATGGTTGATATTTGAGCCTTGACAGATTAGGCATTTCACACAAATTTTGTTTAATAATGTATTTGTTGTCTACAGATAATGTGTTATTTATGGAAAGTAAACATGAAAATGATAAATACTCGAGTACATGTAATAAAGAGTATGTCATAAATACATGACCATAAATAACTTATCCTAATTGATAGTTCTATAATTGTATCAATTATACAGTGTTGATTAATCACATATTGGGGTGTCTGATGTGGAGGTGAATATATTATTCATCGTTTATCACATCAAACACCTCAGCTGTGATAGTGATCATCTACCTTCTATATAACCCAGTCAGTAATAAGTCTGTGGCATCCGAATTCGAGATTCGTCTGAAGGTAAGTGAATCTGTAGATTCTATTCAAGCTCAAACAGTGTTTTGAACGATTCGTCAAAGATTCTGATGAGTAAATATTCTTTCATGAAATTTTTAATTTTGTATCTATCAATGACCTTAGGGTTAACAGTCTCTGATGCATGCAGACCTACAGTAATTGACGTTTACAAATCCCCAGTTTTCAAACGGAATGTCTATATGCTTATTTGTTTTTCTCATCTTTCTCAGCTTCTAAATTACCGTGTCTAGCAAAAGTAACTGAAAGGTATTTTATGTAAACCAACTGCCTTGCCTACAGTTTAATAAATGAACGAATGATTGGTTACATAAAACAACATTCGCGCTGATATTTATGTTTTGGATTCATAACCAGCTCAACAATGAAAAAAGGCTATTTCTCTGTCCATCCTTTCGCCAGCCCAAAGAAAGTACTGTCATAGTTTTCACAGCACTGTGATTAGGTCCACAGGTTTTCGTGCAATTTGTCTAGGGACTCCCATGTTATTAAATAGTGAATGCTATACATCACCAGATGTTTACTTCATTTGACCAGATGAGGCTGCTCGTGGTGTTCCTCCTGATGGCTTTGATTGTTCTCCCAACGGAAGGATTATTCCGTCGTCGTCGCCGCCGCAGATGGCTTCGTATCAGAGGCGGAAAGGTTCTCACTGGAGTTGGCATTGCTGCCAGACTGGGACTGATAGGAAAAAGAGGTAAGACGACGATTATGTGACGTGCATTTGAACAGTGTTTCCTTGAAATGTATGTGGACTCGCATTCTATGAAATTCCTATTGCTATATCAACATACATATTGACAATAGTAGTACATCCTGACTTGATAGTATAATTGCAACTTCATTTATTGTTATGAACTACTATTATGAACTACAACTGTATTTGAAAAGAAAATAGGTCGCAATCTACCAACCTGAATTCTCCCATGGCACTGAAGAATGCTTGATTCTGATTGGACAAAATCAGGTATCTAAATGTATTCGATACCACAGAATTGTCTTGCCTTTTCTCACAGAAACCTTGCATATGACAACATCGATCTATCGATTGCCTACACATTGATGCACATAACAATGGCTGCCGATAAACAGTTATCGAACTTGTATACGTTCGATATCAGAAGAACAGCTTACAAGGATATTGAAATAAATTTCAGAACACACACATGTTAAGCAAAACACACCTATAACTATATATATGGATACAGATTCGAAGATAACAGTGAGCCGTGTCTCCGACTGTCTCGTGTCGTACAATGCTGGCTCGTCTTCAGCTTAAAACGGCGGTAATCAGCCTTATTTCAGGGTGGTTCCATTGGCAATGAGGATTCGGCCATGTCCATCATTAAAGCATCACGTTATTTGTGAACATTATTACAGATCGAGGTTATCCTCTGGGTACATTTAATTAGTAAATAGCACTGTCACCAACTTTTGTTGAAGTCATGAACAGCAAAGAGTAAAGGGACATGTAGAAGGTCAATTCAGCCATGTCGAAGTTTGGGGTGAAGAGCTGGTCATTCTGTTCTGAATATGTATTATTGTTTCTGGCTAGGTATTTCAGCAAACTGGTACATACATACACCTTCAAAATAACTAAGTAGCAGTGTACATAATAACGTATTTGAGAAACAGGTCAGCCGGATGGAAGATGTCCTTTTGATTTCCAAAAAAAACCGATTTGGTAGAGTTCAAACAATGCAAAAATGCAACAGGTGAGGTGAGGTGAATTGGGATTTAACGTCGCGTCCAAGATTATTGCACTTATATAGCGACGTGCATGTACGTGTTTGTGTGTTTGTGTTGCTGCTTGTACTAGTCCGGACTGATGCCGATGTATAGTGCTAGCTCACTTAGATACCATGCCGCAGTTTAACATAATTCCCGAGCCGACCAGTCCTTGCTTTAGCCCCTTAATGCCGAGGACCAGACAGAGTAACAACAGGTACCATCTTTTAACATCTTTTGGTATAACGCTGCCGGGGATCGAACCCCGAACCTTCCGCTCTCCGGGCGGACGCTCTACCTCTTGACCACGGACGCGGTGCATATATGCAACAGGTTGCGGCGAAGTTAAATATAAATCTATTGAGGTCTTTTTATCAATTCGTGTGGAATTTTTGTTACTTTGTAACCATTATTTTGAACTAGTCAAGAATATATAACGCAATCTGTGACTCCTTTTCGGCACGTTCTAAGATAGCTGGCCTGTTGACCCATGACACAAGTGCGCGTTCACAAAGAGCACCGTTTTGAAATTGCTCTTGTCGTCTTTGTAGATACAGATATATCTATTGTGTTTTGAAATTAAAATTAAAGGTTTCTAACTTACAGTTAAGCGACCTCAAATTTTAAAACACATTAGTTTTATCTCCTTACTGTATCTGCATATTTAGTGGTAAGGGTAACTATTCTGCATTTGGAAAAAGAAATTATAGAATTCACTCTACCAGCATTTATCTCCATTTAATTAATCTTAATCATTGTTTTGAGATTTCAACACAAATTGTACTGCAACAAATTCCATAAACGACATTCCTTCATACCATTCATACAATGAGGTTTTTTATGTAAACCTGACAACAGGAAAAACATGTTTTATTTATGTGTTTGATGAGACTGTTAAGGACTAAAAACACATTGATCTGTTAGCGAATGTTTTCATGGAAACTGTCACATATATTTCAGACATACAAAATGACCTTGCCTCTGCTGATCTGAATGAGGATGGGAACATTGACCAATCAGAAGTGGAGAATCTGTTCGACAAACGCGATGCGGAACAGATCCTGCAAATGGTTGACATGGACGGTAAGAAAAAGACAGCAGAAGTATAGTTTTATACATGCCATGTGTGTGATTTCCAATTGTGATTGACGTTAAGAGAAATAAGGACGATTCCTGTTATTCATGACATGACCAGTATGTTTCCAGATCACATAGTCGCTATGATAATTGGAATTATTTAAGCATTTGGTAATTCTAATGCTGCCAAGTTATGAGTTGGATTATAATGCTGTCTCTTTCATTTATTATAATAATAAGGGGGCACGGGTGGCCCAGTCGTCTAAGACGCCGCGATCCTCTGTGCGTCCCTTGGGCACGCCAGAAACCTATGATTGTGGGTTCGAATCCCGTTTCGCCCCGATAATGTTTCTAGGTTTGTCAACACCATACCCGTGCTCGTGGTTTTCACCGAAGTGATAAACGTCTGAGACCTTCATCACTTCAGGCTTTTCTCCCACATTAAGCTGACACGCGGCGATATAACTGGAAACCTATTAAAAGCGTCGTTAAACTAAACTCACTCACTCACTCACTATTATAAAAATAATGCAATGTTTCGTCATGATGTGTTTCAGGTGATTCAGTCGTTAGTCACGACGAGTTCATCCGAGGAGTGGAAGACCTTTTCTCTCAGGGTGGGTGATCGATTATTGATCGTTAATCGAATTTTACTCACACTATTGAAAGTATCGATTTACCTCACTGAGATGAACACTACCGAGCTTACTGTCGCTTATTTCCCGATGAACGTCAGTATGTCGTGTGAATATGAGAGAAACAGAAATAGGGTAATTGGGGAAGGTATCATCACACGGCAATTTCTTTTAGACAGATTGTGCATGTATGGCGCATCATGATCCGATCACCGAAATGAAACGTCAATTCAAAGTTACAACAGAGAATGCTTTACTTACTAAAAGAAATGACTAAGCTCCACACTGTTTTGTATTGCATCAGGAAATCCAACCGCGCCGCCTCAAGTGGTAATCCCCGTCATCTAGCCTTAGTATGACTCAAACACACACCCGAGGTTCAACTTTCATATTGATCCATTTTCAGCATTAACCGGGTCTGGATTTCAATCTAATTCCAACTTTACCTCGTTAATATAGTTCGATTTAAAAAGATTAGTTTGGTGTTTAAATGTATTGCTTTGTAATGAGTTATGTATATCTAGATTTATGCTGTCTGTCAAAATATGGATCGAAGTTGTATTTGTTGACGTTCATGATCAGCTGATGAAGACAATGCCTCCATTAGAATATTTATCCTGAAGCCCTTCGCGCATCATGGAATTTGCTCACGTGAGGCACTGTCGTCATAACCTGATGACCGTCAATAAATACAACTTCAATTCTGAATTATGTGCCATATGTTATTCCGCCCATGATGATTAGTAAGACTTAGGCATCTCTTTATCACGTGTGCATTTTCTGTTTCAGATGCTGAGTAGATACTTTCCAACCCAGCGCATTAAGATGATATGATAACGTTATCTTCTTAATGCTTGAAAATAAATAATTGCAGAAAAAAGTCGCTTTTATGTTTTGTATGTCGGTACATTTAAACTATATAATTATACGTTCCACTCCTATCTCTATGATTTTCCAAATCCAATATGTACTTTCAATTGTTTGTCGTGTTAGACCAGTACAGGACATGTTTTCAGGACTGCTGATCGACATTTCTCTCAAGAACACTGCTATTTAGAATAAAATAAACATCAATAAAACATTGACATATTAACTAGTTGCATGAGTGAGGAAGTGAATTGGTTGATTCCGGAGTCCTATTATGTAAGCCTATGAACAACAGAGTGCAAATTGTAATTCAGGCATAAAAGGAAAATCAACTTGCCGATGAGAACTTTATGAGCTTGGTCACGACAAATAAATGTCAGAGGCATGCATTTACCAACAAGCAATGATACTTCACGGGTTTGTTTCATTGTGTTGCTTAATCGCCCGTGAATACATGTACATTTGGCAGCAATTTTGGTGTGATCTCTATTTTTAACTAACGGTTAGGGAGATGCCAGGCTCCGGCGAGAGGGAAACATTTCCTGGTGAGGGACATAATCGCCATGTTTCTCGTTTGACGGCGTATGCAACATATTTCATAGCTTCATGGATGTCTGCTCTACATAGTATCAAGCAATGATAGCAATCGCACAAAATACACCCACGGAGTACGGCTCATCGGACTTTCATGAGTCATAAACGGACTCATCCCAATACTTGCAGCTTGCTACTAGTGCGTCGCTACTACATGACATAGAGACCGTACGTTGTCACAGGTGATTGATGATCGTAGTGTCCTTTTCAATACATTTGTTCATTTATGGAAATTTAATACATTTAAAGTAGTTGCTATAAATGTGTTTGCAAATCCGAAAAACAATAATAGCAAATTATCGTCTGGAAAGATCTCATGGTTTCATGTAAATTTTAGTCTGGACACATTTCATGGTTTTATGCAGAATATTCATTAGCTGTGGAGCTTTGGTGGGTAACAAACGCTACATGTTTGAAAATTATTCGAGATTGTTTCTATGGGAACACAAGAAATTAAAAAAATGACGTTGCGTTCCAGATAATTGCACGTATATATCGACGCGCATGCACGTGTGTGTGTGGCTGCTTTTCCTAGTCTGGACAAATGCCGATTTTATATTGCTTGTTTTAAGCCCTTTAATGCCGAGCGCCAGACAGGATAACAACAAGTACCATATTTTAACGTATTTTGGCATGACACATGACAATGAAGTTATTGCTCGGAAAATGATGTGCACTTCGACGCCAACGCCAACGCCAACGCCACCCGAGCCAACCCCTTTGTGGGGTTACACAATTCTGAACGCTCAACATCTTTCTGTACTATCAAATGCAGTGAATACTCATGTCGAGGTCGTGGACACGTAAAAAGATGGGAATTGTGTTGTCCTAAAATAAAGAATTCCTACCGTAAAGTTGGTAAATGTGAATCATGAACATGAAATTCACTGCGAATTTCGAGATTACAAATAGTTAGAAATGTGTAAGACGAGATAAATTCCTTTCCATACAGAGGTATACTGTGTAATATCTGATAATAATAAATATATAATTAATATAATACTTGGTTTTAAGTGCTATAAATCACATTGCACCCTCTATATCTTAAACTGTTTTCGGTACCAATTCTTAATTATATATTTTACAGTAAAATAAAGACGTTGTTCTCCACAAATTCTGTCTACTTTGTCATCCGTCAACTTCTAAGAAATGCCTATCAAACAATTCATTCGTTTATACGGCGTGGTATGGGCCGAATTAATCTCACAATGACAATTTCGGGGTGTCTTGCCTACTCGAAGCGCCTGACCTAATTCGGCTAACGTAGCGATAGACCTTTAACGTGGGCGTTCACGTCTCCAGATCATGTCCAAGACGTGTTCTGTAGGGGGAAAAGGTCAGGACTCATGGCTGGCCATTGCATGGTGATGTTTTGCGGCTGGAGGAAGCCAGTTACGATACGTGCCCGTTTGGGCAAGAGCGTTATCGTCTTGTAAAACAAAATGTGGACCAGTATAGAGGGCAAACGGCACAACTATTGGTGCACGTATGTTGTCTCGGTTGTTCTGTCCAGGGACCCGTCCTGGGACAATATGTAATGGCGTCCTGACATATCATGAAAGACAAAAAAACCCAACCTTTTGCGTTCGCGTGATTTCGTTAGTCCACGTCTATCCTGAAGGTCCGGAGTGAATCTGGACTGATCTGAAAGCATGACAAGAGACATTACATTAATTGAACTCTAAGATCATTGGCGTATGGTTGGACTGTGTCTATTTGTTAATGCAGGTACAGGCGGTCGCGGAATAAGCAATTAATATAAGTAGACGATTTCTAACTCTTGTGGTCTGGCGCAAGTAAATTTGATTGGATGTTTCGGGTCAATTTTTTAACGATCATGGACTTATGTTGTTGACCAAGGGCCCATGTGCAGGGCAGAGCATTGACATTTTGTCTGCAAAAACCTGTTCCAAAGTCATCAAATCACAGACTAAGACCCATTGAACAATGTGGCTACCTCTCGCTGAGTTCTACCAGTTTCAGTAGCACCCAGGCGTCCATCACGTTGTAGACGACGCATGTGCATTCCCAATCTGATCAAAAATACTGCATTACAATAAGAGTATATGACTAACTTTTTACTGCCGATTTAACAAATCTAATAATGCTAATTGCTCAGGACGACGTGATAACCTTCAACTGTAGTGTCAAAATCAAGTTGACCCCCTGCTAGTGCACGGATGAATTGCTTGGTCTAATTGCAATGTCTCTGCTGTACACGATTGTGTTGGGGCATTAAGTTTTGGTTTTGGCAGTCCCTTTTTAAAGCTGAGCTTTCTTTGAGACCGACTATACCATTTATATTTCATGATCGCATAGTTTTGTGGTAGTGTATATTTCCTGACACGTCTGCGGCAAATAGATAGAGGAAGGACGCTACCAGGTTTTGTGTTCTTTCTTGGTTTAAACATCACATCACAGTGTAGCCTTGATTCTATTCCTTATGGACCTAACACGCTAAATTACACATTTGAATATTGTGGTAAGGGCATTTTGTGGCCTATCATTGTACATATTATCATTTAAATATGTCTACCGACAATGACAAGAAATACTTTTCTGAAAACATTAGCTTTCGCGGTGTTCCTGCTGTTTCTATAAGAGGGGATTTATGGTGATTTTATACATCTGACTGACAAATCAAACTCGAGTATTTTCCGAATACTTGGAAGAATTTTGTTTTAACAACATAAAACTAGAGGAACAGATGTTTACAATGGAGGTATGTCAAATAATCCAAAGTTCTGAACACAAGACAATGTTAAAAATTTATAAAACCCTCTTTCAAGAATAAAATAAAGAAACTCAGCACTTTTTAATAATCTTGACTCTCCTGAACGCAGACTGATTACGAGCTATAACATGTTAATGTAATTGCATTGCGAATAGTGTCATCGTGTATAATACTGTGACCAATCGGCTAAGTCTATGTAATGATGGTTTTACCAATGAGTTTTAAACGTTCATATTAATAAACGGGACTGGTAGAGGTAAATATAAATTGAAGGGAGAAAACATTGTTTTGCCGGCACAAACACATTACTCCGTCGTATTTATATATATATCAGCAGCAGCTAGACCTTTGAATATATGCATATCAAATTAGAAATACGAATTAGAAATTCCACAATATACAACCCCAGCTTTGCTATTGAATTGGTCATGTGACAGACAATCTGAGGTGATAGATCAGTGAACAGATACCTTATATCCTGGTGGACGTATGAAGGTGTGACTCGGAGTGAATCATAAAGTCCCCTGTCGACACCTAACACACCTCTGACAGGATGTAGTTGGACGTGATTTATTTGCTGACGACAAAACGTGGCTATGTCTGAAGTTGTCACTGGTTAGTGTGACTGTTGCCATTATTACTTGTCATATACATGTATGTTTTTCAAGTAATTGGATAATTGATTCCCTAAAATACATCTGGATATTTCATGGTTGATATTTGAGCCTTGACAGATTAGGCATTTCACACAAATTTTGTTTAATAATGAATTTGTTGTCTACAGATAATGAGTTATTTATGGAAAGGAAACATGAAAATGATAAATACTCGAGTACATGTAATGAAGAGTACATTATAAATACATGACCATAAATAACTTATCCTAATTGATAGTTCTATAATTGTATCAATTATACAGTGCTGATTAATCACATATTGGGGTGTCTGATGTGGAGGTGAATATATTATTCATCGTTTATCACATCAAACACCTCAGCTGTGATCGTGATCTTCTACCTTCTATATAACCCAGTCAGTAATAAGTCTGTGGCATCCGAATTCGAGATTCGCCTGAAGGTAAGTGAATCTGTAGATTCTATTCAAGCTCAAACAGTGTTTTGAACGATTCGTCAAAGATTCTGATGAGTAAATATTCTTTAATGAAATGTTTAATTTTGTATCTATCAATGGCCTTAGGGTTAACAGTGTCTGGTTCAGACCTACAGTAACTGACGTATACAAATCCCCAGTTTTCAAACGGAATGTCTATATGCTTATTTGTTTTTCTCATCTTTCTCTGCTTCTAAATTACCGTGTCTAGCAAAAGTAACTGAAAGGAATTTCATTTAAACCAATTCGCTTGCCTACAGTTAAATAAATGAACGAATGATTGGTTACATAAAACAACATTCGCGCTGATATTTATGTTTTGGATTCATAACCAGCTCAACAATGAAAAGAGGCTATTTCTCTGTCCATCCTTTCGCCAGCCCAAAGAAAGTACTGTCATAGTTTTCACAGCACTGTGATTAGTGTTCCAAATATAGATCCATAGGTTTTCGTGCAATTTGTCTAGGGACTCCCATGTTATTAAATAGTGAATGCTATACATCACCAGATGTTTACTTCATTTGACCAGATGAGACTGCTCGTGGTGTTCCTCCTGATGGCTTTGATTGTTCTCCCAACGGAAGGACTATTCCGTCGTCGTCGCCGCCGCAGATGGCTCCGTATCAGAGGCGGAAAGGTTCTCACTGGAGTTGGCATTGCTGCCAGACTGGGACTGATAGGAAAGAGAGGTAAGACGACGAATATGTGACGTGCATT